TTGGATCAATTCATGCATCTACAACTAAATGTGGGGATAGCAGTTTAAGCACTGATCTCCCCAGCGACCTGCTCCAACACCTCCATGGGGACACCATTATGTTCCCAGATATAATCCCTCCAGTGTGTCCAGCATCTGTCCCAGGCAGGACAGAAATGCAGAACTGCGTGATCAATTACAATACAATACACTTAATTAACTTCAATGATGAAAGGTTGACAAAAGCAATGAGGAGGAGGAGCAGAAGACAGCAAAGAAGATGTAGAAGAAGATTATTGACTAGGTTGTAGCATCTAAGCAACGTATGAGGACCAATTTAATCTAGACATTCTCTGCTTTCAGATAATGTGGATATGCATGGACTGCTTTCAGTGCTGTATATCTACAGTTTTAGTAAGGAAATCAACTTCAGTGTCAAACTGACCCAATTGTTTTCAGGATCTTCACCAGTGATGAAAATCAAGCCTCAAGCTCCATACCAGAGATCTGAAAGTGGTGCATCACATCAGGAGATCAAGCACATAAGCTTTCGACAACAGAGGGGACTTCAACTAAAAACTAGAAGCCACACTGAAACGCTGAAACTTCCAGGAGTATGCAAGGAGGTGCTTTTGTGCACATTTCTTTATAAAAACAATCAAATGGTTGCTAATGAGGTCAGAATCTGCTATGAGGAGGATAAGAGGGATTTCATCCATCATGAACATGTAAACATGGAGCTTTAAGCTCTAGCCTTTTAAAACGATTACTATGTATGCAAATGTATCACGAGGGTTAGTCAGCACATCGCAGCTGGGGTACAATCAAATGTGATTATGTTTCAACACAAGTTGTTATCCTCCAGAAATCCTGCTCTGCAGCAGCGACACACCAACACAACAATTCAAAATCACATTCCATCTTCACACCTTAGATGTGAATGTTCTCACAACTCCTACAGAATATTCTTCCAGAAAGATCTGTACCACAGCAGCAGTCGTGCCCTCGTGTATGGGGTGGATTCATTCGTGAACTCCAATATTAAGAAACTGCCTATTTTAACCCAAGGACATCAGGCAGAATCTATGTTAACACTGGCAAGAGAAAACACGTCAAAGCAAACACTGTCATCACTTTGACACAAGACCATCGGCTAGACGTTGAAGTCAAATCGGTTGCCATGGATACCCATTCTGGACTGCAGGGACTTGAGGGTCATATTGGGTATATATTCTTACAGACTCTTGTTTCTCTGAAGCAGTGAGGACTAGAATGTGAAGTAAGTTGACTGCTTTTATTCTGTATGCTTACACCAGGAAATGAGAAATATTAGCCAAGGGCTGACTAAGCACTTCTTACTCCAGTATGTATACTAATACATTTCAGCTATACCATAAACACAAAACATGTATCTCATTGAACGTCTGACAAAGATTTTAATGGACCGATCCCAAAAGGCTGCTGATGTGTTGAGCCTATATCCACACAGCAACACACAGATCACACTCTTCAGCGATCACTGCATACACCTAGGCTGATAAGCCTGACACAGAGAGCGCTTCTGCAATAACAACACAGTCATTAGATTCTCTGTACCGCTTGCTCTCTCTTGTGGTAAGAAAGTGAGTTCCACCCTAGAATAATGTAGGAAACACTGACACAGAGATTCAGTTTTTCTTGTATACTATAAGCAAGATTTGCCAGAAAATATTTTTCATTTAAAAATAAAAATCCCACATTGGAACATTTTTCACTCACAGCAATAAAAACAAAGGATCTGTCACAGTTTACAGTCTCAAAATCAAAACTATCAGCCTCCGCTTCTTTGCCCTTCATGCTCTCTGTGATCTTAAGAGGAATCAAACTAAATTTTCTGATACTAAGAACACACACTGAGAACAAGGAAATCTAACAACACTCTAGTAATTTTCTAATCACAGTAAGGTGTCCACAAGAGGGCGCTGTAATACAAGAATAAGGCATGAGCAATGATGTAAGACCAATTTCCTCAAAGCTATAGAACCCCCTCTTTGATTTGTTCCTATTCTGCTGCATGGGAACTTCCATCCCTGAGCCCATCAACAGTCCTGAATGAGATGGTTTCCAGAAAGGAAGCTCAAATCTCGAGTGGAACAGGATGAGCAGGTTTGAAGTTGGGATCTCCTAAAAAGGTCTGCAGTTGGCTGGAGAAAAAAAAAGAGAGAGACTAAGCAAATCCCTGATAGCTATCCTGAGGCTACAAATGGCCATTGCTTCAATGTCTTAAAGTGTCAACATAACACGCAACAGAATAAAAGAAGACAAAGGAAACAGGATTATAAGAGTTAAGAGGCTCAGCGTGTACAGTATGCAGCTCTATTTAGAACTCAACAGCAACTACAATGATTGTAATGGTCAGAGTGTGTGTGTGTGTGTGTGTGTGTGTGTGTGTGTGTGTGTGTGTGTTTGGACCTATAGTGTACAGTATATGAAGTATATGGTGTTTTTCAAGCATGTTGTGTAGCGATTGAGCCGGTGATATTTTAACGCTCCCGTCTGGGACAGCCATTCTGGATATCTAACAAACAATTAATAGTCGTGTGCTTTATCAGAGCAACTGCTGCAGAGGAGCTCAGTTCTGCATTCAGCCTCATTACACAGAGCTGGTTAGTGAAGAAAATGGTCAAATTTGAGGAATCACATGAAAGACATCTTATCATTTCATGCCATGTGATGCTGCCCAGAAACAAACCTCCTCTCTTTGACTTGCTGGTTGATTTTCAAAGAAATTCTTTGCTCCATCTGTTAAACAGGCGCATCAGACGGCAATCACGAGCGCCACCGCACAGTCAAAACCACGACACAATGTTTGCTACTTTGCTAATATTATCACAGGCAATATGTCATGTCAGGAGCACAAAAGTCCTGGTTGTACTGAAGAGCATATTTTATCCCTTATAGACACGATTTCTAAAAATACTGGAGAGAGAGGAATGCGTCTGATTAGTATAACTTTTCATTTAAAGGAAACAGAGAGCTGATTTTTCCAATTATAAACATGTACTTCCAAACAAATCTGAATAACTTAAACCAAAGACACACAAATGAAAAGGTCTGCTATAAACAGATATGACTAAAAACCTGCTCAATATACTGGTTAGTCAGTAGGAGTTACCATCTTTCCTGTGATGGATCTCTTATTTTTGGAATTAAACTTCTCTTATTGGTTCTTTCCTGCAGTAAAAACACATGTAGGAAAATGATAATATACTTGAACACATACACCAGACTTTAAAATGTACTTATTAGGGTGGTACAGTGACGCAGTGCTTACAGGCACACTAAGATAACTGCTGTTTTTAACTTGGCAGTGGATGTAACATTTGACGTAATCTATTTAAATGAAAATGACTTGATTGGTATAGTTTCAGTTTATATAATGCACACCTTTGAATTCATATATTTCAGTTGTATTTCTCTCAGAACCGTTGCTTAATGTGATTATTGAGGGTAAAGAATCTTCTGTTTGAGTCAGTCTTTAGTTAGTTTCGAGTTTGTAAGTTCGCTTGCTTCTTTTTTCCAGGTGAGTGTGCAGTTCAGCATTTGTTATGATGGCTGTTCTCCCCCTTGGAGACCGCGGGAGTCTCCAAAAATGTTTTTAAGATTAAATAATATACCATGTTCTGACTGAGGGATTTCTGAAAAATTAAAACGTACAGCTCTGTTATCACTTCCAACATAAATGAAGACAGAAAACTAAACAGCAGTGACTTTTGCAGGGTTACTGAAGTTGGGCTAGCTGGTATATAATGATGTGCTACATGACTGGGCTGGGCTGTAGTTACATCGTAAGCTTTAAAATGAACTCAGAGAAGATACAAAACATTAAAACATGTTAAAAACACAAAAGCCTTATTAAATGCAGAGTAGTTTTTTTCATATGTAATCAGTTAAAGATTGGATATCCCACCTGCTGTGAATGTTTTAATGCAGAACAGTTGTTATTATTATCACTCGTCACATCCTGTTTATGACAGTTAAAATTAATAAGAGTGCCTCATGTAAACTGTGTGTAGTGTTAAATAGGCCTATACTACTGTACTTTAATGTCGGTCATAAGGGTGGTACTTCAAGAGCCATGTATTTTATGCTACAGGCTACAGGAGATCTAAGACAGAATTTCACTACAGAAATCCCACAAAGACTGGAGGAAGCACTGATTTTAGAAACTGATGTAAAGTTACTGTGGATTCCTGTGATGGCTGAAAAACAAATTTATATAAAAAAAAACATTTAGAAGCACAAAGCAGAACATGTTTGTGCAGGATTAACTGTCTGCCAGTCGTTATCAAATTTCTTGGCATAACACATCTGCTTAGAAAGTACATGTAGCAATGCATCAACAATCTGCTCAGAGTTTAAATTCAGTATTATACAGATATTTACTGCACTAGCATTAAGTACAACAGCAATAATCAGGAAAGTGCTGCATGATGACTCTGAGAGGCTGAATGGGAAAAAAAATCATGACTTGTTCAAATAGGCAGCACAGGTTGCTTTTATTATGATTGAGGACATGTAGTGATGTGAGGGGGTGTGGAGTGGGGGTGGTGTTAGTAATTTACTTTATCCTGTCATTACCATAGCAGCCAAAAAATAAGGAGGAGGTCAAACGTTTGCATAAACAGTGAGCAGCATGAAGGGGTTAGGGTTTGAAAAGTACACGTTTCTGCACTTTTACAACATTTGAACCAACTAAAATATCCTGACTAATTTTTTAGTGTGAATGTGATCTGAGAGCACGTCATAAAGCACTTTTTGGGAGAATGCGTTACTACTATGACATAACGTACAGTAATGGAGACACGCTAAATCATGACCGAACGCGCTGATCTATAATAACCATGATGGACATGATTTCATTTCAGCTGCGTGCCATAACCCTCTCTCTCTCGCTCACTGTGCACTCAGCTCTCGAACAAGAACAAAGTGCAAACTAATGACAATAATAACAAACCAGTGTTTTGGAAAGCAGATCTTACCGTGGCTGTAGCTGACTCCTGGGCTGAGGGTAGAGGGGCTGGCAAGCTGCTCCCTGTTGGGTGTTTGGAGGCCTACTTCCTTCTCCTTCTCCCTCTCCTTGTCCCGCTCCTTCACCTGGCGCTGGCTCATCCTGCTCGGGGTCTGTGTCAGAAGGACGGTGTCATCACCGCACACTATGGCAGCTACATAAAAGGAGAAGGAAGAAGAGGTGAGAGATGAAAAGGGAAGACATCAGAAGAAAAATCTGACATGTTGCCACCTTTCTTGAAATCAGAGCACATCCACACACAACCCTCTTGTGGAGCATCTGATAGCTGCAGCCTTCTGTTTCATAACCTATTTTGATAACTTACATAATATTTGTTTTCAACATTATCATCATGACGGTTTTCATGAGAGCTGATAACCTGAAGATGTGAGCCTCTCCCCTATTACTCCACCTTGTTTACTGAGCCCTAATGAAGCAGGCAGGCAAGTTATTGCTTAGCAATGGGAGCCCATCTCGGATGAAGTGTGACCAATCCCATTGCATTAAAAAACAAAACAGGACTCATGCATAAGTATGAAAACACTTCTACCATTTATGGTTCTAAAAATATTTGTAACAAGAAAAAACAACAACTGCTCTGGTCTTACTGGGGTCAGCAGCTAAATGTCTCTTGTTATCCCATCTCTATTTAAATAATGTGTTTACTCGTTTATCTTTACACACACCATCTTGCAACAGCAGAAGTTATTGTTTTAGTTAAAATGGTTTCAGTTGCCAGTCTTGGGCAAGATATTAAACACCTAATGGCTCCACAATTCATTCATCAGAGTAGGAAGGTGTGGGAATGTTACACAGAAAGCACCTGGGTGTAGACAAAAGTGCTTTATGGGACATTTTGTATAAAGCTCTTCGAGTTCTCAAGAAGAGTAGAAAAGCACAATATGTGAACCAGTCCATATGGCTCTGTGCTATATTTGAAAGTGGAATTTACATATTAGACAAAGGAAAGAGCAACACAATCACATCGTTTTGCTTTAACATCTGAAGTTAAGGGTGAGCGTTCTTAATATCAGTTTATATACTACATAGAAAAAGTTCATCTTTGCACTCTGTTCAAAAGAATGGACTTTTCCAAATGCAGATACATTTTGTTGTGAAGCCATATATGAAGTGGACAGTGACACACTTTCCCAAAATACATAATTAACTAACCACTAAAACTGACTTTAAATGCTCAATACTTGGGAAAAGCAAGAGCACATGCATTCTTTTCTAATCAATTTCAGCCTAAATATCAGTCCTGGCCAGTTTGCTGACTGGGTACACTGTCCTTAGCCCTTCGTCTGAAAGGTCACTGGCTTACCGGAGGTGGCATGCTGCTCTCTCAACTCTGCGTGTTGCTAGCAGGGCGAAAGGGTGGAGATGAGGGGGAAGGGCAAGACAGTGATAGCAGATAAAAACAGAGGGAAAGACAGAAAATGAAAGGGATTGGAAAATGTGTCAGAGGATTTTGGATAGAGATTAAAGGGGACGAAGGGGTGTCCGCCATGTGTTGTTCACCAGATGTTGGCAGTGGTGGGTTTGCGGGCAGTGGGGTTGGTGTATAGTGGGCAGCAGCAGCATCAGCAGCAGCATCAGCAGCAACAGCAGCAGGTGAAGCCGCAGCCGCACAGGACGACAACAGACAAACACACACACACACACACACACACACACACACACACACACACACACACACACACACACACACACACACACACACACACACACACACACACACACACACACACACACCAAAAAACAGAGGAGACAAGAGACAGAAAAAAAACACATTAGTTTAACCAAAATGTGGATGGAAGACAACTTAACATAAATCTGTTGGGTGATGGAGGCAGTGGGAGGGAGACTTGGTGATACACAGCAATGGATAAAGTTACAGCGCACACACAAACATGATGGAGAATAAATGGTCACATTCCCAATGACTACCAATCAGCGGCCCATTAATTACAACAGCTGCTGCCGGAGAATCCCAAAATAATAATTAAGGGCCATCTCAGTGGTTGATCCCACACTGCAACTAACAACTGCTTTGCATTTAAAATGTCACTGAACGGTTGTAGCTCTTTAACATTTCCCAGAGGTCGTGTCTACCAATTAGTCAAACTCAAAAGACACAGTTTTATTGATCATCTGGGTTTCAGTTAGTGTCACATCTGATATTGACTATATACCTCAAGGCAACGTGACAGTGGGAACTGATTTTGATTAATGATGAATGAAACTGGTTTTACAAGATGAGTTTAGAAATCTTCAGCAAACCGAGTGAGTGCACATTCATTTTGAAAACTTAAAAATCAAATGTAAAATTAAAAAAAAAACATGATTTTAATAAACCCAACGCTGCTTTGTGCAATGTGATAATGTCCTCATGCTAACCTGCTCTTAGAAATATTATGCACCAGCTTATTCTTACAGATTATAGTTAGCAGCTTCTGTCATTGCTAGGATATGCTAGCTGGCTAGCTATATGACTAAACCACACATCATATAAGGAGGAGACCTGACTCCTGAGCAGAAATCTATAGGAGATGGGGCAAAGAAGACAACTGTCATGTCTAAGCTCCCCAAAGAGCCAAACAACAGCCAAAGAAGCTATGTTAGCAAACATTGCGCATGCATAGTAGAAGTATAGAGCTGTGATCAGATGTTTACATACACTTATCATGAGCATGTTATGGTAATTTGAGCTTTGAGCTGCTCTTTTTCCAGGGTTGAATGATTGATTTAGCACCATACAACTTTAATAAGTGGTGCTGAAGGTTCTTCGATGTCTTTTAAGGGACAAACTCCAAACTCCAAAATTAATTCAAACTTGTGCACCCAATTCTTCAAAGAAATCATTAAAAGCCACAAATTATTTAATTAAGCAGGAACGTCTAAATAAGTGCTGGAGTAGTTTCAAAGGTTCCTGCCAAGTGACAAGAATCACTTTTAAAAGAACTTTGGCCAAATGAAACTTTCGGGATTATTCACTGGTTGCATGACATGTCATCCCTGCAGCATCAGCCTCAGAATAGCACAGGAGAAAAATATTAATGATTTGTGGATGCATCCTCTGGGTACAATAAATATCCATGTAACAGCACAACCACTTTGTTACTCAAGTGTTTTATATTTTCAGTACAGTACACCATTTACTTTGCAGGTAGTTATTAATGTAATGTCTCATAAACAGGAAGTTAATCATTACAATCAACTTAAATATTTCAACCATTGGTTTATATTTCTTATTAAGTCCTATCCGCAGAGCAATAAACATTACAGTGTAATTGGTAAGCAGCTCTGACCACAAACAACAGACACTCACCCACATGACTCCCTCCACCTGTGCACAGCGGAGAGTGGAAGCATTTAACAGCTGACCAAAAGCAACAAACAGACTCTGATTAGGTTTGCTCACCATGGCCTCTCTTTATCTTAAAAGTAACAGCTCTGCAACAGTAAGGGCGCTGTTTCTGTTCAGTCATAACTCTGACACAGCAAATATCAACACGACTGCAGAAGATTCTTAATTTCACTACCTCCAAGATACCGTCTGGCTCAGGTTTACAGAAACCCATCATATTAGTCCAGGCAGCTGCAGTGAATAGATCTGGTGTCATGGTCACCGCCGGAGTGAAGCAGGATCCTATATAATCTCTAGTCAGACAAAACAACCATAGGCAGCTCAGTGAGAAGGAAGACGGGGAAAACAGGGCCACTGATTGGTTATTGCTCAGATAATCCTACAGATGAAATCAAATCACAAAGTTCTGATTGGTTAGAACCCAGAGACCTACTGGCTGAGAGGGCAGACGATACTGAGAGCTGCTCACAACAATAAGGGATTAGCAAACTGTCACTGAACGCCAGAGATCTATTAACGAGGCTTTGTGAAGAGGCACCAACAGAGTGCTTTCCTAATTTAATCTTGGCTCAGTGTGCTGTCTTACCATTACACTGAGGCCACTCCCACCAAGTTGCAAACAGATGACCCTCAGTCATTGGGGCAAAGAGGTCAGAGGAATTTGTTCCTGGAAGGCTGGTAGTTTTCTCTAAATACAGCACACAGTCTGATCCCAAAATAAACCACTTTTCCTCAAACTGTCTGTTCAATAAACTCACAGCAACTGTCAGCAGCTTCCGTGACTGACAGTCTTTGTGAACCCGGGGTGAATGCTGTTTATAACAACCTCACCTGGTGATTAGTGCTGATTAATTATGCAGATGAGAGTGTGGGTGGTGGTGAAGAGGCTGACAGAGACACAAAGTGAAGGGCCAGCAACAATCTCCAAGTGATACTAATAGAAAACAGAAACTGCGACAGGCAGCCCGAGAAAGAGTTTTAACAATACAGTTGAATAAAAGCGCACTTGCTGGACCACAGCAAGTGGCAAGAGCACATTAGCATTTGAAAAGCTTTTGTCACTATAAATTGATCATCAAAAAAAGGGTGGTGGGAGGTTTGCATGCACTAAGCTGACCTAAAGCATGAATCATTCAAACTCAAACTTTTTGTGACCAGGTTTTAATATTCTATAAATCCTCAAAAATAATGTCTGTTGTCAAGTTGTCTGTGAGATTTGTACAGTCTGCTGTTTTCCCAGCACAAACATTTGTGTGGAGAATGAGAATCAACAGTGTACAACCCACATCCTCACAGCTGAACTTTTAGTGTCATGAATAATCTAACACGTTCATCTTTTTGGGGTTTCTACATGGAAAACAAAGTGAGGTAGAGATGGAGGAGCACTGACTCAAGTTCAGAGAGATAAAGGATGGAGGGGATTTCACCACACATGAGCCCATTCTGAAAACTCGCAGTTTTAAAGCCAGCAGGATTTTTAGCATTTGTCTGTATTTTGCAGTGCACTGCAATTATTTTACAGATAATCCTCTGTAAAATAATATTCTCACAATCATCATAATTAATATTACACTATTACACTGCTCAAAAAACATCCCAAAACTAAAGGGACACGTTAAAACCACATCAGATCTCAATGGCGACGTGCTGAATACTGATTTGGACTGAGTAATGTGAGTAATCTTGAGACTATGGTGAGAAGCAACAAATCCTCCAGCCATGGCACATTCTGATGTGCCTGGAGGAGTTGGACTACCTGTGCTGGAGTCCAGGTATCACCTCATGCTGCCAGTAGTAACACTGATATGATCCAAATGCAAAACTGATGAGGAGGGAAAAATGTCCTCCACCTGTGAAACCGTTAGTGCTTTGGGAGTAATCTCGTTGTTGCTCCTCTAGTGCCCCTGCTGTTCATTTCTTTAACACCACAAAGCAGCTTTTTTTTTTTCTACAGTGTATATTAGCAACCTAAAAATCACCTTCAGTGAAGCTATGAGTGACTGTAGTTGCTGAAACACACACACACACACACACGCACACACATGCACACGCACAACTTGTATTAGACTTTGGGAAAGCTAGCAGCTGACAACCATGTTTGGTTTGGAAACTTTTGATACTAAATTCCATTCCCAGTCTCGTACACGTACTGTGCTCTAATGCAGCGACCCCCAACCTTTTTTTTGCACCACGGACCGTGTGTCCGACAATATTTTCACAGACCGGCCTTTAAGGAGTTGCAGATTAATACAAGAAAATAAAACCAATACCGGTATCAAAAAAAGAAGATTTATTCATAACACACGGGAAAAGACCCAGGGAAATGGAGTTAACGATTCAAAAAATAACGCTAAAAAAACGATAAAAACCCTAAATTTCACACCCAAGCCTCAACTCTCGCGGTCCGGTACCAAACGACTCACGGACCTGTACCGATCCGTGGCCCGGGGGTTGGGGACCGCTGCTCTAATGCACATTGGATTTTTGAAGCTCATACAGATATCTACATTTGTATGCCGGATATATATCATACCATATCATATATAGCCAGCAATATTTCCTCAACATAAACTTACATTAATGTAAAAAAAATATATAATAAAACAATGCATACTATCCAGCTATTTACAGGAGCTCCAGTAAGAGCTCTCTGATGAGCAAACCAAGCAATGTCTGCTGCACCTCCACTGCAGTGACTCTACTCACAGGCCTGAGGAGGAACGTACTGCATATCCACTGACAACAAGATCTGCAATGAGCCTGTGCTGGTGTATTAATGTATGCATTAACATGTGCATCATAAGATGTCTAAAATCCTTCACTAAAGTAGATGGATCTTAAAAGCATGGACATAGATATGTGTACATTTTACTGTCAGTGATATTTCCCATCATTAGAGAGAATAAAAGTTTCGAACCCATCAGCCTTATATTGCAAGAGAAAAATCATCATCATAATATTTTCATGCGGGTAGTGTTTCAGTTTCCACTG